ATATATATATATATAGGAGCGATCAAATGAAAACCACTCCAATTTGTAAAAACCGTAAAAACTACTCTCATTCGTCGATTTCATTGTTTAATTTTATGAAATTTTTTCATAAAATTTTTAATCTTGTGAAATTGTTTCATATAATACTTTTTTTGATGAAGTTGTTTCATATACTATTTAATGAAACTGTTTCATGTATTTCTCTAAAATTAATGAAACTGTTTCATGTATTTCTCTAAAATTAAAATAATGAAGATGATAATATCCATGATTAACATCATCTACAATAAAAATGATTAATCAACCTCTCATAATTACAAAAAAAATGAACAAAATGAAAAATTATGATTAGTTGAATGAAGTTTGTACGGTTTGTAAAAATTAGGTGGTTTTTATTTGAACGCTCCCCTATATATATATATATACATATAATATATATATATATATAGAGAGAGAGAGAGGGGTTCAGAGGCAAACTCCTCAAAAATGAAAAATTGAGAAACAACCCCAATAACCATTCATCTGGACATATGTGTATGTGTGTGTTGTGCATCTCGACAAGTACAATAATTTTGACTTTCGTTCATGATGTTGGTGTTAGGAATCTATGTTTAGTGATATGTATCATGGTTGCTATATACTTACGTTTTGTCATATTATCAAAATACAAATTGTAGCTCGAAAATAAAAAATGATGAAAGGATTTGATACGAAAGAAATTACATAAAATATTATAGTATTGTGAAGGATGAGAATATGATCCACCAAACGGTCTCGTGTCATGCTCGAACATTAACTGTTATAACTAAATGATAACACATTTGAACCTGTAAAAATACATTGTGTCAAAAGTAACCAAATGAGTTAAAAACATTGAATAACGAGACAAATTCACGATTATAGGTAAGAGATAGGGGAGATGGAGAGAATTAGACCAAGATTTCAGACCGGGAAAAAGAAAACATGACTCGTTTGTCAAATATAGTAGTTCTGCGATTTTTGATGACACCGCAGTTTCAAGATATAGTCATTATGTTTTTATATGATGAAGGAGGTTCATATGAACCCCAGAAAAGAGGCCAAGGGAACCTCTATCAACTGTAAGATCTAAAAAAATAGATGGCTCAGATTTAAATGTAACTGTCCCTGTAATAATGGATTTAGTTTTGGCAAATGTAACCATCTTTATTATTCACAGTAGTTGGATTAGAATACCTTAATAGTTTCCTTTTCTTTTTTATTAGTGTTCTCTCATGAACCCGGGGTGAATGTATATGACCCATTAATTGTTATTTTCAAAAAGCAATATGAATTATATTGTGTTTAGGACCCCTTAAAAAAGTAATCGCATCAAGATGAAAAATCATGCAGAACAAGTGTAATATGTTTCTCATATCGTATGTTTTTAATTTAACTTGTATAATATCAATAGGATGTCATAAAGCTTTACGTGAATACCTTTTGAAGAAAATCTAAACCTTATACTCATCGACGTGAATCCATTTCGTAGAGGACCATTTGTTCCCCTTAATAACGGGGCAACCACCTTATAAACAAGAAAAGGTATGCACAATGTTAGTGGAAGTATAGAAAAGACCATTAGTTAAAGACGGAGATCTAAAGGTTATTATGAGCAATGAATCACGGCGACTCTTGGATAAAAAGACTCGTCATGAACCACGTTAAAGTTTACACAAGTTTTGTTCCATTACTGTAAAATAATATTAGTTTAGGGCCTTTAACGTAAATACCCTTAGGCTATTTTGGCAAATTAGCTGTTTTATTAGTTGTTGGCTGATACAATAGTTGTAAATTGATAAACTAGTCATGTTTGGTAAAAACTAGCTGATAAACAAGATATAAAATGTCGATGTGAAATGACATAAAAGGACATGTTGAAATTTCAATTACTAAAACATATATATATATATATATATATATATATAGAGAGAGAGAGAGAGAGAGAGAATATATTTGGTTTGGTTTGGTTTAGATGAAAAATAACTGACCATGCAAACTTGAAGGGTCTAGAGATGCATCTGGTTTCATGCTCCAGAAAAGCAATGCATCTCCCATTTTAGGCTTAACAGATAGCCCATCTTTGCCGCATTCAGATAGTTGGTTCCACCAAGACACAGCGCTAATGTTGCCCTTTGCTGAAGGGAAAACCGTCTCACCCCCTTCTTCAACATCTGACCTGCAAACAACAGTAGAAATATTGACCAACATCATGAAAAATATCAAACCGAGTAATTGCGTACAGTTACCAAATAAGATTCCCGATCACCAAACAGCAATCAGTTCATGCCAAAGGGTAAATCTGTCATTCAGACTATTTATCCCGATAGACAAATTCACTTAATAGAAAATTTGGCAAACAGCCCCTTTCGTTGATTAATAGAAAAACATCGCTTACAGATACATCAGAACAGTAGCCATTCGTTGACCTCCGTTCTTTGCGTTACACTGATCAAGAAAGTAGTCATAGTGAGGCTCGTATTTCTGGCCGACTTCATAGTGAAGAATTTGCAGTCCTTCCCCGTTTTCTGGATATAAATTGGCTCAGCTTGTGTAAAAATCCAGTGACCAGGTGCATTAGACAATAAGGAGCCAATGTAGGTTGATGGACATCGGCTAGACACAGACCATCAAACTTGTATATACACACACATATATATATATATATATATACACACATATATATATATATATATATATAAACTTTCACTACAACAAAATCGTCTTTATAGGACACCAAATATGTCTAAAGGTCATAATAGACTGTTTTATAGGACTCAAGTTTATAAAATCAAACAACTATGTGTCCTATGTAAAAGTGTTACAATAAGTTGATACGCTTTTAGGTGTCTTAACAAGTTTTTATGGACAATTTTGAAATAAAAATTAGTTTTTTTATCTGACATTATTTGAAAAAGTGTTTTATAAAAACAAAATGTCCCGTAAAAAGATATGCTCTTATAACACTTTTCAAAGTACCTTGTAAAAAAGCTAATAAGACACTTTATTTCAAAAGTGTCCTATAAAACTTATTAGAATACCTAAATACGTACTATCAACTTATTGTAAAATCTTTATATAGGACGCATAATTTTTTGGTCATATAAACTTAAGTCCTATTTTATAAAGCAGATTATTATGACATTTAAACATGTTTAGCGTCTTATAAAGCCAATTTTGTTGTAATGTTCCCATCTCTCTATAAGGGCTCTTTTAGATGGAATCATGGAATATTCATATGGGTTCCACATATCCTAATATACATTTTGAGAACGTTCCGTTACAGTAAAAGGCATACCTACAGGCAAGAACGTGAAATCTGCAATTCTTTTTTCAATGGCTTGGATCGTTTCATCACTCCCTCGTGCCAGAAACGTTCCAGAACTCGTACGCACCCTGAAGAGTCATTTATTCTCTCGGTAATATAGATAACCGGAGATTCAAAAATACTTATAACAGTAATAACAACTGCCGAAAGGATTAAATTCCTCGATGAAAGTAATACTGACATTAACGTTTTGTATAGTTAAAACTTTTTTTCCTGAATCCACCATGACGTTTTTCGTTCCAATATCGCTGGACAATTGACATCTAATTGAAATATGTTTTTGTATGATCATGAAAAACTAAAATCAAGCATAATAGAAATACATGATTAGATACTTTACTTTGATTTTGGTGGATTTTCAAAGCTAGGGGTGAAATGGTAACTTACAACATTTAAACAGTCTATTCAGCACAGAAAACAAACAACAATAGATCTTACAGAGAACTTAATCCACGCAGCCGCTTAATAAAGATAAGAGAAAGAAGATACACACCTACTATCTTTGCTCTTGCCTGTATCGTTATCAACAACAGTCGACTTCTCCATATGAGGTTTAGCAAGATTAATCAGATGATTGCACTCAACCTGGGACTGCATTCAAAAGTTAACAGAAACACAGAAGTGAACAATTTTTGACGATATTTGTTAGTGTATCTTCGAGATTCATGCTTTGATGATGGATTAAAGAACCCGATCCTATGTTGTTTGTTTTCGTAAGACATGAACGGGGATGATTGTAGTCTACAGCTTGATGTCATCAAGGATGACCTAGAGTCTGTGAACATAACTTAAATCTTGAAACTTGTTGGATTGTTAAAAAGATGTCAAAACTCTATGGTATAATCATGTTTCTAAAACCAAACGCTACAAAAAGAGTGGGGTTTATAGGATGCTAAAACGTTTAAGTGTCTAATAGATGCTTTATAAAACTTAAATTTACAGAACCAAACAATCAAGCGTCCTATGTAAAAGTGTTACAATGAGTTTATAGAATGCTTTTAGGCGTCTTAACAAGTTTTTTAAGACAATTTTGAAATAGAACGTCCTATTAATTCTTTATGACATTATTGAAAATTTCTTATAAAAGCAAGTGTCTTTATAAAAACTTTGCTAAGATAGACGTCACACTTTTAACAAGTTAGGGATCTTCATTGAAACAATCGTTCTATTCATCGAGATAGAGGTCAAATAGGATATACCGGGTTCGTTTGATTTAAGGACTATATCCATGTTGAACTTTTTAATTTAAGATTCAGTCGATTGGCAACAAAAATTACTTAATTTCGGGTTATTTTTTCAATTGGCAATTAACGTAAGGGACAATCACAAAATCATATCGGACCCATCACAAAATGATCAACTTTTTCTAAATTAGCACATAAGGGATAATCACTAATTGTTAAACAAAACACCATTTTCTTTTTGCAAAATATTGGCATATTTTATTCCGTTTGTGATCAGCTTTGCAAAAACCATCAGCAAAAAATGGTTTCGTCATTGAAGTGGGCCCAAAAAAATCACAAAATATCTCAAAATTGTAGTGTTCACAACAAGGACTATTGCTTTTTTTAGCAGAATATTTTGTGTTAATTTGGAAAAAGTTGGTCATTTGGTGACCGATCAACTCCAATCTTGTGTTTTCTGGGGCTGACAAGAGGATCTGTAGAATGTGGAGGGTGGACTTTGGGACATGAGTCAATGATCCTGCCCTAAATCTGCTCGTTCCATCCCTATTTCAAACGAAATGGAATTGAATTTTACAATTGACAAAATCAAAACATACTAACCAAGAAATTATGATACACAACAGCTCTAGGCTCCCATGAGATCACTTCAACCCATTGATCAGCTCTATCATCGCTACATTCACCAAAAAAACAAACAGTTGCAAATCCAATCTGAAATCGAATCAAACCACAACAACAAATCCAATCGAAATTCAACTAAGTTACCACTGACCTTTCGACAATAGAAGTATGGTGAACGATGGAATTGACTTCATGAACTTTTGAAGAATCAGATGAACTTTTTGGAATCGATAGAATCGCAAAACCGAAAAGAATTAAGACGAAGAATGAACAGATAATTAGTACCGAAAAGATGAACGTTGACGATGAGGATTTCCGCGAAGAGCCTCGAGGGTGTAATCTCCCTTTTGACACCATTATTGAAGATTTTAAGAACAGAAATCGAGAGGAAAATTTGATGTGGAGAGGTCCAAAGTATACTCCAAATCTCCGTTATGTTCATTCGCTCTAATATTGAAGGCTTTTTAGTCAACGGTATGTGGCTATTCGACATGTCACATGTCCGTTTCTAGTTTAGCTAATTGTACACTTTAGTCCTTCAAGTTTTGATCGGAACCAAAAGCACATAGAGTAAATTACGGTTTTCATCCCTATGATTTGTGAAATATTGCAATTTTCATCCCCATGGTTTTCAAATTTCGATTTTTGCCACCATTGTTTGTTTTATAGTTTGTTTTTATTAACTTAATATTATTTTTTTCATTTTTGGTTTATTAAATGTCTTTTTTGTTTTTGGTATTTTAGCTTTTTTGATTTAAGAGGGAACTACATTTTGGTCTCTCGTTTATGACTGTTTTTGGTTTTCGTCCCTCAAATCGTAAAGTACATATGTGGTCCTTTTTTCGTGTTTCAAAGCCCAATGTAGTTCCTCTGATTAGCACCGTTAGAGAAGACTGAAGTCCATCATGTGCCCCTCGCATGAGGGGCAATTTGGTCCTTTTACCGCTTATTCTTCTTCCTCCAATCTCTTTCCTCTTCAACCAAAAACACCACTGCCAACCATCATGACTGCCATTCACCATTTCTCAAACACTAATCTAAATCCTAAAACACAATCAAAACCATTGATATAACTCAAATCTCAAGAACATTTATATAAATTATACAACTCAAATTTCAAGAACACTCATACAACTCAAGAACATTTAAAAACAATTCTACAAATCAGGTTCATATACAAAAAAACAACCACCTAAATACAAATACAAATCTAAATTAAATCTCTAAAATTACAAACAAATATCAAAACCTTAAACCAATCTAATCTAGATAAGTGAATAGAAGTCCTAAACAAAAATGGCATCCCTAAACAAATCTAGCTTGAATATGTGTATCAAAACCCTAAACAAAAATCTAACCTGGATATGTTGGGATTAGTCATTTACGCTTCTGGTGAAGCTTCTAATTTTCAACAACGAAATCGGCGTGATGGACTTGCAACCAAAGAAGGGTGTGGCAACGGTGGGTTGCAGATGAAGAATGAGCATTGATCGAGTGTTCTTCAAGAATATGATAGGGGTTATGGTTTTTGCACCTTCGACTTCCACAACATCATTGGATCTGTATGGTTCTTCGACTTTCACACCTTTGAGAATCTGATGAAGCTTCAAATATCAAATATCATAACACCTTCGACTTCCATACTTGAATATGATGGGGTTATGGTTTTCGTTGGTGCTTGTGGTGGTGAATGGTTAAAGACTTAAAGGCGGGGATTTGGTTGGAGAAAGGATGGGGGGAGGGGTTGTCGGAGATTCAATGAGCTAGCTAGGAGCGGCCGTTGTTGGGAGGTTCAAATTCCGAGCATAATTTTTAATTAAAAGAAAAGGAAAAATGTAAAAATATTAATCTAATTGTATATGCTTTAAATAAAATAAAAAACAAAGGTAAAAATACATAAATGTCTATCATGTGAGAGGCACATGACAAGGTTAACAGATTCCAGGCTAACGAAGTTGATAGAAAGTGTTAGAAGTAACCGTTAATTCAAACTAGTCGGTCCAAATTAGTTGTTAAATAATTCCTAAAGATTAGGAGATAATGCTCCTGGTCTTATGAGTCTGTTGAGGATATTTTAGGGGCTTATGTTTGTTATTTTTTTATTAAGCAGAAATAAAGAGTTGCTTCTATTACTCTCTCGTATACTTGTTCTCTTTATTTTCTATCAATCTGGTATTAGAGCAAGGTTCCTTCAAGTGCTAGGCGTTTGATTTATCTGAAAATGGCAGCAAGTTGAAGCACTCTTAACGTATCTCAACCCCAAATACCCATTTTCAGAAGAGACTCGTACAAATTCTGGAGCATTAAAATGAAGACCTTGTTCATGTATCAAGATCATTGGGTATTGGTGGAGTCTGGTTAATGTAGAAACCAGCAATGAAGATGCCCGTCAAAAGGACCATCAAAAACGCGACGCAAAAACTCTTTTTTCATCTAGCGGGCATTGGACAAGAGAATATTTTCAAGAATAGCTACATCTACAACTTCAAAAAAAGCATGGTTGATCCTTAAAACAAAACTTCAAGGATCTAGGAAGGTGATTACTGTCAAACTTCAGTCCTTGAGATGTGAGTTTGAAACTTTCTATATGAACAACAAAGAATCGGTCCAAGCATATTTGGCAAGAGTCTCTATGGTGGTGTGCCAGATGAGATCGCACAGAAAGAAAATTAATGATGAGATCATGGTAGCTAAGGTCCTACGGAGCTTGACTTCTAACTTTGATCATGTAGTTGCTGCTATTGAAGAGTCGAAAGATTTATCGAAATTTTCTTTCGATGAGCTAATGAGATCTCTTCAAGCCCATGAAGCAAGAATTAATAGGTCATCAATAAGAGAAGAAGAAAAGACATTTCAAATAAGGGGAGAACCAGAATCTTTAGATCGTATAAGAGGAAGCTATCGGGGCCGAAATAGAGGTAGCTATCGAGGCCGAGGCAGAGGCCGAAACAGATTTGACAATTCCTCTATTCACTGCTCATATAGCAACAAATATGGGCATTCTGACAAATTCTGCTAGCATAAACCTAAGGAGGCAAAGTTCACTGAATAATCCAACGACCAAGAATATCTCTTCTTGACTTCCTTAAACCATGATGATGCAAGAAAAGAAGTGTGGCATCTCGACAGTGGTTGTTCGAATCATATGACAGGTGATCGATCGAAGTTCAAAGAGCTCGATGAGTCAATACAATCACAAGTTCGACTTGGTGACAACAAAGCACTTCAAATTGATGGAGAAGGAACCACAACGATTGTGCTAGGTAAGAAAACAAAACTCATGAAGGATGTTCACTTTGCACCTTCCTTAGCTCACAATATAATAAGTGTAGAGAAATTGTTGGAAACTGGATATTCTGTGTTTTTTATGATAACAAATGCGTTGTAAAACATAAAGTTACAGGTAATACCCTTGTAACTGCTCACATGATGCAAAACTGAATGTTTCCTCTTAAACTTTTCGAGCACATAGAAGTTGCACTGGTGAACAAAGC